CCACCAGGCTGCAGCTTGTAACTTACCCCCTTCATGAGATGCTGAGTTCTCGCAGATGTAGATGTAGCCTGGCTGTTGTACTGTATCCACTGGTCTCTCTTTTAGGAGTAGTTGTATTGTTGTATTTTCAACAACAAGTATTTCTTCTATTGATCTCTGCTTTGTAGGGTATGTATCAGCATGCTTGGCCTCTGTCCTCTGAATTCAAGCATCAGCACTTCCCCTCCAGTGTGACAACCAAAAATGTCCCCAGGTGTTGCCACATGTCCCTCGGGGGTAACATTGCTTTATATTATACTAGAACCCACTGCTTCTGTTATAATACTGGTTGATTAATATTTTGAATCCTCTCTATAGCTAATGATGAGCTCCTCAAGGACCAAAGATCCTTAGCACTTAACTGCATGCATGCATGCCTCTTTTCCCTTGGGGAGTTAACTTAAATTTCAAAGTATTTATTGAGCCACCTACATTGTGCAGGAATGTTGCTAGTTGAGATAAGACAATAAAGGCAGACCACATCATAAGTTATTTCAAAGGTCAAGACTTTTATTTTTCACTGTTGCATTTTCCAGTGCCTTTTTTAGATCCTTTACCATGCCATTACATTTGTAAGACTTGCCAAATGAATGAATAAATGCATTGGTCCAGCTCAGTAATCCTCCTAAAGAATCGAATGAAAGTACTTTAACCAGCTTCATGTCACTGAGCTGTAAAGTTAATTTCTCTGGTGCAGGTTTGTTATTGTCTCATTTTTAGTGGACACTGGGGGCTAAATATTAATTCAAAGGAAGTGTTTTATTTACTTTATCAGATATCTTTGTGTTTCACCTCTAATTTATGGCAGTTTTCTTTTGTCAGTAACTCTTGAACAACAGGTGATTCAGCTGTCTTTGCTTTGGGTTGCTACCCTGTTTGAGCAACAGAGACATTCTGGACTATAGGAAAATAGGCTTAATGTAATTGGAAGTGAAAACTGTACCCTAACTAGATCTCTAAATCCAGTCTTCTTTTTGAGATCATGAGTGATCTCACCATCAATGATCTGACCCCTTAAATATGTGTTTGGCCTTATATATATTTATAGTCACTGTGCTTCCTATTCTCTCACTCTTAGTTTTGTATTTGAGATATTTGAAGACAATGAAGCAAGTTCTTTCTGAGCAGATAAGCTCACTTTTGTCATGGCCGCAGCAGTCCGCAGAGCTTTTGCTGTACTTACAAATTCATCTCCTGAGTCTTAGGGTTGCACAGAATCCTCAAATAACTGAATCTGTAAAATTAAAGCCTCAGAGTTGGAAGCAACCATGAAGATCCTTTAGTCCACCCACTGACTGGATTTAATCCCAAAGGGTTTCACTCTTTTTTCTGAAGTAATTTCACCCTAAATGACATACACTTGTACAACATGTTGTCATGGGGGCTGAGATAAAGTCCTGAAAATGTTGCAGGAAATAAAGCTTCTGTAGTAATGAATTATTGCTACATATATTACAGCATATAGAAAATAGTTACTTACAGGCTGTTGATGATGGTCATTTCCTTATATGCTAGTTGTAACTTTGTTCAAGTTATTAAAAAATTTGGAATGCAAGTGAATGAAATGATACAGTTATATACTGAGTTATAGAATTATAACTGACTTTGAATACACTATAATTTATGTTTTAAAAGTAAACAACTTGTTTTCCTTGTTTTTTGTTTCAAATCACTTGTAATATTTAACCTCTCAACTGATGCTAACAAGGTGGTACAAATGCCAGGAGGTAATTAGAGATGAGAAAAAATTTGTAATTTCTTTTTATCCAAGCCCACAGACTTGAAATAAAAAGAAGTTCATGAAATTAGCACAAATTGGCCAGACCTAGAAGCTTGGAGAAAACCAATATACAGGGATTTAGAGTAGAGACACTCTGTAGCAGAATTTAGATCACAGACCTTCCCCCAGGAGAGAATCAGCAAAGACAAGAGAGGACGTGTATGGGAAGGCAGCCCAGGAGAATTGCAGGGAGGCTTACTGCCTGCCATTAGACCTCTCAACCAGAGCCCAAAGTACCTCCACCCGGATTCTTTTTTGTGACCGCATCAATTCCCTTCATTGTTTTAACCAGTTTTGGTTGGATTTTTCCATTATTTGTAACGAGAAGATTCCTGATTGGTACCTTGGCCCAGAAGAGATGAGGTAGGTCCTATGAGCCAAATAGGGGCAGGTTAACTCTGGTATTGGTTAGTCTAGAGATCAGACTGGAGCGGTGGTGCTCCAGAATCCTGAGGGCTCTGCGGGGAGGCCTCAGGAGGCACACTGAGGGTGGGAAGGGGAGGACTTTGGGAGCTCCACTCCTCCTATGTG